CCGCTCCGGACCCAGGCGGGCCCACAGCCGAGGCCCCCGTGTGTCCCTGCGTCCCAGGGAGCTGCCCCCGGTAGCCACCGCGCTCCTCATGCACCTGCCCGCTGCCGGGGCATCTCCTCACTGCGCCCCCCTGGGTCCCCTCTATGGCACCGTCCCCGTGGCCCCTCAGAGGCTCCCTCCCCTGCTCTGCCTGAGGAGCTCCAGGTGTCCCCTGCCTGCCCCTTTGCTATCCCCTGCAAAAACAGCCTGTCACGGGGCGCTTCTGCCTCGCCGTGGCCTTTTCCTGGTGCCCGGGTGGAAGGCGGTCTTGAAAGAGCGTCAGGCCGAGGCAGTGCTGGGCCTTCACCTCTGTGGAAGGCTGGTGCCATCGTCCTTGTGCCCTGAAGTCTGTGTGGGACCAGGCTTCCTACACAGAGGCTTTTGGAAAAGAAAAGCCTTTATTCTCATGTAGATGCTTAGCTTAGCAAAAGTGAAACAGGAATGAATGTTCTGCAGCTGAGATGGACCATCCTGTTCTTCCTTCGAAATGGGGGACTTGCTGGTTTTGCTTTACTGTGTGTGAGGCAGTTAATTTTATTACCTGTTGCATTTGTGGCACTGTTCTCATGTTCATTTTTATGATTTTCCTTTCTACTGTAAGTTAATAAGTAACTGTGGTGATGTCACCTGTTTTCTGTTTCTGCTTAATAAAAACCTGATACCTAACCTTTATTCACAAGGCAGACTTTAAGAGACTTGAAACTCTTGCTTGTGTGAGACAGAGTTAGGACATCTGGATCATACAGAGGGCTACTTTAGTTGTAAGGTTGGAAATTATAGTTAGGTTTTATTTCTCCTATTTTTATAGGAAAATATTTTGAATGTGTGAGGCATAGCAATAGTGAGGTTCTAAGCAGGGCTTTCCTGTCCATTTCTTTTCTCTGATGGGAGGGGGGTGGTGGAAAGACAATGGGACTATGATAAAGATGATGTGTCTAGATCCTGCTTTGTAGCTTTATCCTTGCTGTCTCAATCTCTGACTAGTAAATATTTTATATACTTAACTTCTGTGAGAATTGATATTTTCTGTTATTCTCCTTGCTCTCAAGTCTTCTAGCTGTTGTAAGAGAGACAGCAAAGTTCTCTATTATGAAAAATTATTTCCTTGGAATTTTGAGTTGATTGCCTAAAACTGACTTTTACTACTAATTTTGTTGTAATCCTGACTGATAATGATACACAGACAGCACTGGATAGCTATGCCCGATTTACACTTGGATATTTTTTTTTGTGTATATAAGCACTAAAAGACTTTAAAATTTCAAATGGAAGTAAGTTTTGCAAAACTCCGCTGCTTGCACATGTTGTGCTCACCAGCAGCCCAGTAAACTGCTGATGTACTCTGATGTGGTCCGAAGGCTAAAAGGAATGCTTAGAGAGTTGTTCATGCTCTTTTTCATAGAGCATGTTGCATGCTCTTTTTCGTAAAGCAATGGAAGATTCAGAACAAACTGCTGAGGGGACTCTATCTGAAGATGAGTTAAACAAGCAGGACTTGGCAGGTGGGAAGAAATCCAACACACCCAAAGCAGAGCTAGACTCAAAGAAGATGCCTCAGCCTGGAACAGATGATTAGTATGCAATTCCTTGTGGCAGACACCCCTCGTGATAGCCAAATGTTGCAGTCATTATTTTAGGCCAGTGGTACCCCCAGGCCAGAAAAACAGCCCATAAGGCTCATAGTACAGTGCTGAGAGGAGACAGGAATGGAAGCAATAAAGAAAAATTAAATCCTGGAATGAATTGAGTTCCTTCACATGGAATAAAGACAAGTAGAGGAATAACACACAAGACAATCTCTCCTGAAGGAAAGAACAAGTGACTTTTTTTTTTTCAAAGCTCACCGGTGACCAAAGCTTTTCTACAAAAATTTTCACATTTTGGAGTGAACCAAAGAACGAAATCTGCAGAAGTAGCACAGTGTAGAGATGAATTTTAAATCTCTTGCTTATTACTGGTATTAGTAGCACTGCAGTTATATTCTGCAGTAATACTTCCCTATTTCTACATATCCTGAATTAGTGGACAAAACTGATTATCACTCTTCTGAAGATGTAAAAGCTGAGGTGAGATAGGTGATGTCTTTTAAGCATAGACACACAGTTAATGGTGGGGCAGAGACAGCTTAAAATAATAGCTGCTAGATACTTTCAGTTTCTAAAGTAAAACTGTAGGCTGCATTTTGATCATTATTTAATTTGATGCCGTTGAAGTGTCAGTCATGGGATTTTTGAAGGCAAGCACTGCATCTATGAAGCTTACTCATTTAAACACCTGTTTTTCTGGAAAGAGGAAAAATGTAGGATGACAGAATACAAAGAAAGTGGTGTCATCTCAGTGAATTTGTTTATGTGTTACCAAATAAACACCCATTTGGTTTAATTATCCTGTATTTTGAATAAATGAGACAATTGTCTGAGATGAGAAATCTCTTAATGTCCAAATTTACTGAGAATTTTTGAGAAGCTCCTATATATAAGGATTCTGTGAGGCAGCAAAATTGCCAAGAAACATCTTAGTTTTGAAATAACTGAAATAATATACCCGAATGAAACATTTCTCCGTTCTGAGGTGAGCTGTGGCTTTTGAGAACATAACTAAGAGAAAGGTGATTTGAAAGAAAATGGAGCTTTGCTGAAATTCACAGCTTATAGCACTGGCCACTAAAACGAAGAAAACCCTTATTCACTCCTGAGTGAGTTCTTAGAAAACTAAATGGTGGAACTGGTGTGGATCTGTCTAGTGTTTCAAGTCAGTATCTTGAATTACTAGGACTGGGGGAAAAAAATGAGAGAAATGTCTGGTTCTGAACTTGTATTTTTTTGCCCCACTTCACACCAGTTCTGCTTGCCACTATCTCAGTTTTCAGTATCAAAAGTGTTAATTCTAGCTTACTTAGGAAAACTCTCTCAAAAAAATATGTACAGGAAAAGAAAATCAGCATTCAGAGAGATGCATACCTTTGTCACAGTGACCTACACAAAAGTTTTCTGGATCAGTCAATGCATGAAACCCAGAATCTGCAACCAAAGTAGACGTGTTCCCCTGCTGAGCCTCCTCCGCATCTTTAAATTCAAAATGTGTTTCAGCACAGTGCTTGAACGCCATCACAGTAATATGCACAGTGAACATTGCAATAGCTTTGTTTAACTAGAACCCAGATATCAGTGCAGGCGGAAATGTTCATATCCTCTTTCAGCCTAAAGCATTTTCCAGATATGAATTAATTTATAATGAAAACTATGATAGTCTTAATTTTTAGAAGATAAATGATTGCTAATTAGTTACAATAATTTGAAATTTTATAGCACTTTTCTCTATGGATATCAAAACACTTTGCTAAGATGGATAAGTATTATTATCTCATTTTTCACAAGAGATAACTGAGACAGCCAGAGGTGAAATGGCTGATACAAATTTTACACGTCATTACTAGGTCTGGAATTAGAATTCAGGTCTCTGAACACTCCACTATATATTTATGCAACTAGTCTGTAACTATTTTTTCAACTTCATAGATATCAGTTCTGTTACCCCATTAAAAACTCACAATTTTCATTTAAATATATTGAGATATATTGCAGTTGTTTTCTTTTGATTTATTTTCTGAATTTAAAACTTTCTGCATGTCTATTTTCAAGTTTGTCTCAGCACTCCTGAGGGGTAAAAGCTCATTTTAATTCTTAAATGGAATTATGCAGAAAAGTCAGACTCTGGCAGAAACTCAGAACCTCTGGATGAAGATTGAGTAGGGCAGGTTGACTATATAATGATATGAATGATATGTCTACAATATTTCTTTGCCCTCACTGTCCTTCTGGTAGATGGCATTACATTTGGACACTTTGCCTTTCCTGAAATGCCTGAAAAGTCTGAAATGCCTCAAAAGATCTTTTCCCAAATGGATTCTGACCTGAAGCCAGAAACAGAAAATACATTTTTAGGGACTTTTTCGTGGTATCAAAGTCACACACATAAAAAGAGATTTGTTTGCATCCTGCCTATATTTGTTATTCTTTACATTCAACTTCTGAATTTTCTGATTTCTGGTAGTACTTTATAGCTGTAGTATTTGTACAAAATTGCTCCAATGTTCATTTTAAGGTGTTTTATTTGGAAATGGAGACCATGTTTGAAACCAAATGGCAGAACAAATGTAGAATAAGAGCAATGTTTGTACTTTTTTGCTTCTTTCAGAGACTTTTATGTAAATGATCAATGTGGGGGTTTTTTAGATGAAAAGAATTGGATCTTTCCCACTTCAGAGGACAATGGTAACTAGTGAAATTGTAGCACTCTGAAAATGATAGTCTGAAAGCTGAAAAATTGCTGGGGGGTGTTAGTTAAGCTGTTTAAAGTTTTTTAAATTTTGTTAATTTTATTAATACACTTGCCGTGAATATAGGATATTTTGAAGAAAGTTCTTTTTTTCTTAAGAATTCATCTCTCCTGCTTCTCCATTCAAGATATTAGATGGTCTCAGAATGTCTATCTCCTTATTTTTGTGAAGTCAATCAGAAAGGTAGAGGAATAGCCTTGTTGTCTCAAAACCAAATTTCCTTCCAGTATAGTAAAGAGAAGCCCAAAACATGTAAATTGTCTTCACCTTCCCCTGTTACGCAATATTTAGTCTTTCTAGCAATGTACACAGAGCCTGGAGTTCTAAAACCTGAATCAGTGAATTTGGCCTACAAATTAGGACATATCTTTGGGTTATCCATATTTGTAGTGTACAGGCAGAACACAGATATTATCTTCGGGAATCTCAAAGCATTTGAGAGGAAATAAAAATGGTCTAAATGGCAGACGAAGGCAAAAATACTAAAAGTTCCTCTCCACCACCACCAGGTAAAGAGGACATGCCCTCTTTTCCAAGGGAACAGGAGGGAGCTGATGAGAAGCCACCAGAAGGTGCACAGGCAGATCACAGTGGTGTCCGTGAGTATTTGCTGCTGTTACATAGTGATTTCAATACTGAACCTACAGTAGCTTCTGGCTTTTCCCACCACTCACCCCTTCCTTACTAGTACATGTTCATCTTCAGTTGCTGCTTTTGGTATTGGAAGATTTCATTTTGACTCTGGTCAAAGATGACCCCTTCCAGTGAAGTTCTGGGCTGACCACTGTGTCTGCAGTTCCTGCTGTCCCTCAGCTCACAGTGTCTCTCCCCTGAAAATTTTTGCTGCTTAGACCCATCTGTAGCTAGTACTGCAGTCAATTCATTAACTCTGCCACTGTCTTTCAGTCAGACACCTGTATTTCTCTTTTTTAACACCATTTTCATCTTGAAATGCCTGTCCAATGTCTATTTCAGATGTTCTGCATGTCATCTAACACACTAGATCTAGGTAGCATGGTTAACAAAATCCACTAGTGAGTCTCCTGTGGAACTTTGGAAGGATTTTTGATGCTTATATTGGCGCATTACTTTTGGCATTTGTTTGATCTTCCTATTACACCTTTTTCCTGTTATAGGATGTGTTTCTTTCCTTCCTTCCCCTAAGTTTCAAAATATGTTTTTTTGAAAGCAAACTTCTCCCTACACTTAGTGCTAAACAGCAGGAAGTCCATTGTGGGGCAGAAGGGATTTTTTAACTACCAGAAGAACTATATGTTTATTTAACATGGCATGTATGAGCAAATTAGTCAAAAGAATTCATACCTAAGAGACTAATCCCAATTGTCCTTTGCAGAAGAAAGCAAAACTAGTCTTCCAGAGGAATCACCAACTGCAGAGGAACAGGAGGAAGAAGTGGAGCAAGCAGAATCAGACACAGAGAGCGTTGGTGAGTACTGCTTTCCACCAAGGAGACCTTAAAAATATCACTACTTTCTAGTTATCATTTTTTCACTGTTATTGTTATGAACAGCATCTCAGACCAGTGCCATCAAGTTACAGACATTAAGTTTCTCTGCTGCCTTTCAGTTGGCTTACCTTGTGTACTTCATATTGCTCTTTCCCATGGCTGGTCTCTGACCCCTTTGTTGGTTGTTTTTCATAGAATACCTAGGAGAGAAAAAAAATCAAGACAGGCTGAAAAGCTTACAAAACAGGTAATAGGGATTTGACCTGACATATCGAACTGAAAAGTACTTTTAACAAGTGCTCATGACTAGTTGGAAGTCAAGTTGACAGTATTCTGTATTGCAGCCCAGAAGAACTACACTGGGTCACATGTTAGCAGTATTGCCTTTTTGAGGATAATGGTGTCTTATAGTGATCTGTTGTATGTGTTTTTACTAATTGTTTTGTATAATGATGTGTGTTCAACTGCTACTGAAAAGAGACACTTTAAACTTTATTTGGTTTCTAAAGCTGAGACCTAAACACCAAGCAAAGCTGAACTGAACTACTTTGGTAGGTCTTGAGTTTTAAAATCAATGTTTTTAATTTCTTCTTTAAATTCTTCAGTTTTGAGTATTTACAGTAAAGTTTTTAAAAACCTGAGGGAGAATTTGTTACAGACTGTTCCAAGACAAGTTGTTACTAAGACATGGTAGCCCTGTTTTGAGCTATGGAGTGCCTATTACTCTGTTGAAAGAGGCAAGGAATGTGTGAATCCTTCCCTTTTGCAGTTAGGTGTAAATATCAGCAAGGAGCCTAAAATTTATGGTGAATATAAATTTCCTTTATGTTCCCACTTCTGAGATGCAGAAGGCGATTTAGAAGAGCAAGATAATAGTGAAGTACCCTCGGAGGCAAAGAAAAGACCTGAGGAGGTAGAAAAGAAAATCTCGGAAACTTTCTTCTATAACTATGAAGATATATGTTCACGGCCATTTGTCACTGAAGACTCTGCGATACCAATTAACCTTCTTACTCTTAAGTATCCTTTCCGTTGAGGCTGTGGAAATTTAAAGCTAAGGATATTTAATGTATGTTCTTAAAATTGTACTTGTCTAATTTGGAGTAGCCTGTTTGGCATTGGTGGGATACCTTTGATTGAGACACAGATAAGAAACCTGACCAGTTAAGGTTCTGGGTGAATTTAATCTTAAATGTTGTCTTGACATCATAAACATTTCTTATTGGGCATGATTCTTACTGTTATAAGTACTCTTGTAGAACTAGATCATGGCCAAGGAAAGTGACCAGGAAGAAGACTAGCGTAAGAATATCACCTACAAAGCTTTCCCTTTCTATGTAGCCACACTGGTATTCCCCAGGAACCTGAGAGGAGGGCAGAAGAGCAGCAGTGTACCTCATACTTCCTCACAGAACTGCTAAGGGAGAAGTGGGGAAGAAACCAGGTAGATTTCTATCCTGGTGCTCAGAAGATCTAAACTGGTAGAATGAAGGGAGAGATGCCCATCAATTAAGAGCTACAATAAGTCGTGCTAGGTATAGTCAAGTAGGATATGATATGTGACTTTCACAAGTGCTGGTGGTTTTCTCTGCAGACACAGTCAAGTTGCTATTGAAGACTGGATTTTCCCTTTTGTACATCTGCCTGTAAACATTTAAGAAGTGAGCTTGAGCACTTCCTTGGTTTGATCTCTTGTCTGTAGAACAGTTCCTAGCAATCTGATGCACATCTTTTACATTTTTGTTTGAAAAGAGAACACTGATAGAATATGAATTCCTTGCAGCCCCAAAGGATCCAGCAGAGGCAAGAGGCATGCCCTGTAGTGGAGGTAAAAGGATGGAATATAAACTTTAGAAGGTCTTTAACTGAGGGGAAGGCACAAGTATAGAGGCTCGATATATTTTACCTTTACTGTATACTGAACAAAACTATCTCCTACTATCAGGCTTTTAGACACCAGATTCAGTATTCCCAGATGAGTTTTGGTTTAAGTGTTTCTATCCACTTAGTAAACTTTTCTAGAAAGCCAGTGTCAAATCTTTTCCTTATTGAACTGTTCTCAGACATTCTTTTGGATATGACTGCAGCAGAAGTGTAAACCTGCTGCTGATGGATAGCCAAACTCTGATGTATATAGCAGGCAACCAAGTGGTGCTTCTGGACCTGAAAACTAAATCTCAAAGTTATCTCCGGAGCAGCAGTGGTGGTGGCATTGGGTTTATCACGGTATGGCTTTTGTTTTGTGTTTTAGGGTGTTAGTCACTTTCTAGAAGCAAAATGTTCACTTGGTTGGCTGATGGGAGAGTTCTACAGCTACACATGCGTATATGTAAGAAAGTATGGTATTGATTAGGGTGTGTGGTGGGTTGACCCTGGCTGGATGCCAGGTGCCCACCAAAGCTGCTCTATCATTCCCCTTCTCAACTGGACAGGGGAGAGAAAATATAATGAAAACCTTGTGGGTCAAGATAAGGACGGGGAGAGATCTCTCAGCAATTACCATCACAGGCAAAACAGACTCAACTTGGGGAAAATCAATTTTATTACCAGTCAAATCAGAGTATGATAATAAGAAATAAAAACTAAATCTTAAAACACCTTCCCCCCACCCCTCCCTTCTTCCCAGGCTCAACTTCACTCCTGATTTTCTCTACCTCCTCCCCCCAAGTGGTGTAGGGGGACGGGGAATGGGGGTTGTGGTCAGCTCATCACGCGTTGTCTCTGCTGCTCCTTCCTCCTCAGGGGAGGACTCCTCACACTCTTCCCCTGCTCCAGCGTGGAGTCCCTCCCACGGGAGACAGTCCTCCACAAACTTCTCCGATGGGAGTCCTTCCCACGGGCTATGGTTCTTCATGAACTGCTCCAGCGTGGGTCCCCCACGGGGTCACAAGTGCTGCCAGCAAACCTGCTCCAGTGTGGGCTCCTCTCTCCCCATGGGGTCACAGGTTCCGCCAGGAGCCAGCTCCAGCGTGGGCTTCCCACGGGGTCACAGCCTCCTTGGGGCACATCCACCTGCGCTGGCGTGGGGTCCTCCCGGGCTGCAGGTGGATATCTGCTCCCCTGTGGGCCTCCATGGGTGCAGGGGGACAGCCTGCCTCACCAGGGTCTTCACCACAGGCTGCAGGGGAATCTCTGCTCTGGCGCCTGGAGCACCTCCTCCCCCTCCTTCACTGACCTTGGTGGCTGCAGAGTTGTTTCTTTCATATATTCTCACTCCTCTTTGTGGCTGCAATTGTGCAGGTTTTTTTTCCCCCCTTCTTAAATATGTTATTCCAGAGGCACTACCACCATCGCTGATTGGCTCGGCCTTAGCCAGCAGCAGGTCTGTCTTGGAGCCGGCTGGCATTGGCTCTGTCGGATAGGGGGGAAGCTTCTAGCAGCTTCTACAGAAGCCTCCCCTGTAGCCCCCTGCTACCAAAACCTTGCCATGCAAACCCAATACAGGGGGATGTGTGGACTGTGCAGTGTAGGCTACTCAGCCCATCAACATAATTGGCAGAGGACAAATATCTGCATACCTAAGTCCCAGGCTCAAGTACCTTAAAGGACTGACAGCTGCCAGCTGGGATTAATTTTTAGAACTACACTTTTATTTAAATCTTCCAGCTCATATAAAGTTTTTTTTTTTGAAGACACATCTGTCCTAGTCACAGCTGATATTAGTATAGTGTTTGCCTCCAGTTAAAATTTAGAAAACCAAGTTCCTAGATAAATGAAGAGAAAAAGTATCTGGTTTCGCTCTAGTAAGCTCCTACCAAGAACTTGGACTCTCAAATGCTTCCTCTGGATTTGAAGCACCTTACCCTGTGAAGGGTTCTGCCATCTCTCAGTTGTATTCCACATGAGCAAGGCTTTCAGAATACCAGGCTGTTCCGCTACATTGTAAGCGGCCTTTTCTGGGGGATCATGGCACATCTTTATGTCTTCAGAAGAATGTAATTCAGGATGGCTTTTCTGCCACTGTCTGCTGAAGTAGATGGCTGCTGACACAAATGCTGCTCATGGAAAGGTCAGCTAGTGGGTTGAGTGAGGTAGGAATAGTAAAAGAATGCATGATAAAGCAAACTATTTCACAGTTTGTCATGGTTCTGCATTATATGTGCAATATACTGTTTTGCGTACGTGTTTTTACCATTTTGTGTGCATAGTAGCTTCATTCTGATATTGAGCAATAGATTGGCAGTTGTTCAGAATAAATGCATAGAAAAATGCAACCTAGTGTTTATGGCAATATCTTTTCACTAATGAGTGAGTAAATATAATAACTCAGTAACTAGCAGGATAGAGACAAAGGTGTCATTACAGCATGCAACGGGACTTTTGCTTTTTCAAGGCACACCCTACTAAGCAGTACTTTGCAGTAGGAGAAAAAGGAAAGAAGCCAAACCTCATCATCTACGATTATCCTTCACTGAGGCCCTACAGAATACTGCGAGGTAATGTAAAAAGTTCTATTTTCATTTAACACAAATGGGCCAGAGTTTATAGATCCCGGCACATGGAGTAGTGGGTCACTTTAGAAGTTTAAAAGAAAATACAACCTTTTGGTCCTTCACAGCAAAGTAGAAAACACTGGTTTCAAGCTTTTTCATTATTGCACGGGAGGAAACTTTTCTTTAGTAGAAATAGCGAACTGAGAGCTATTACCTAGTGAAAAAAATAATTGCCGTGAAAGTTGAGCTCCTTCTAAGTACATTTTCCTATTGTTTCTTCCTCTTCTCTGTGTGTGTGTGTATTGGGGCTTGTATGTTTCTTCAGGTGGAACAGCGGAAGCCTATGTTTTTGGTGATTTCAATGATGCTGGCACTTTGCTGGCCAGTGTTGGGAGCAGCCCTGACTACATGCTGACTATCTGGGACTGGAAACAAGAAAAGATAGTGTTGAGGTCAAAAGCTTTTTCACAGGATGTTTACAAGGTCACATTTTCTGCTGATAATGAAGAGCGACTAACTACATCTGGAGCAGGACACATCAGGTAGGTTTACTGATTAGGATTAATACATATCACCTCTAAAGTCATAACATATAGAAGATGACTAACAGGAATGTGTCATTCCATTGGACCAATGGGGAGTGCTATTTTACCTGGCCATTACAATTACAAAAATGAGAAAGTTCAAGTCCTTCAGCCAGTCAACCAAGCCTTTTAATACCTTTGCTGTGCAAAAAGGATGATGCCTGATGTTGAATGTCAGTACCACTGGCTCCATTCTTGTAATTTCAACAAGCACTGGGGAGAATTAATAAAAAATATGTATATATACATACATATACATATCTTCTAGCTGGTAACATAGCATATATGCTCCTGTGCCTTCTGGGCTTTCTACCTTTGATTTCTTCAACTCATCTGCTGTTTGGGCAGCCATTAGAACTGGTTGCCAAGTCATGGATCAGAAACCCTCTGATACCACCAAAAGCCTGCAAGAAAGCCTTACAAAAGATATGCTTCCATACACTCCTTTCTCTGGTAAGTTCATGGATCCTTTTGTAATAAAAAATAAACAACAACTAAGCTCTTTGGGACAGGGATTAGCTTTGTGTTCTGTATTTATCCAGTGTTCAATGTTAATACAGCAGAGACTTAAGATATGACTTGGATGCTATTGTAATAGAAATGATACCTTTAAAATTATAACACATCTAAAGTTACTTTGAATTTTAACAGAGGAATCAGATCAAAATCTGAGATTTGCTCTATAGTTTGGTTGCAAGATGGTTCTGAAATAGCAAATGGCTTGTTTAGACCCAGAACGAATGTGGTTTAGAATACATTATTTATGGAAACCTGACAAAACAAAATCTCTTACAAACTTTCTTTTGAGCTAAAATAGTATGAATAAATTCTGACCTAGCTTTTTATAACATGATAAACATGACCTTTCACCCAAATGTGGTCTCAAATTCCAATTTCCAATACGTCTTAAATGTAGTATCTCCTGCACACACAGGGAACTATCCCTAATTGCGGAAGATGTTAATTTTTCTGTAATGCAGTACTTTAAAATCATGTTTTATACTGCTAAAAATATAATGATCAAATAGGAATAGCTACGAACATCTAGGATAAAACTTTTGGTTCAGGGAGATTTTATAGTCAAGCTCAAGTCCATGGGGGTACTTGGATGAAATTCAGTGAAGACCTTAGTCCCTTGGATTTACAAAGTTGAGCATTGTACACTGGAGACAGCAAGAGTAAAATAGGTATCACTAACTATGTGTGCTGGTTGTAGCTGGAAAGATGTAGCTATGCATTTCACACACATTAATTTAAAATAGTAGTTTAATCTTCATTCTGCCCATTCCAAATCCTTTTCCCAGTTATTTCATAGCAGTAGTGTAGGG